AGTGTAGGGTTGGAGTGGGGGCAATGGAGCAGGGGATGGAGTTCTTGTCCTGAAGATTCCTACTGGGTCTTCTCAGAAAAAAGATGCTCCCCCAGGGGAAAAGCTAACTCTCCCATCGAGGGTTCCAGGCCAAGTTCTGCCCTGATGAGGTGACCCTAGGATGCAGCCTTCCCCGCTTCAATCCTCAAGATAAATCCTTTCTCAGAAGGAATAGTCACCTCCCTTCCCCAAATTCTCCTCAGTAACCCCAGTTCTAATCAGCAGGGACAAGAATTCTGCCATAAAGGGGAGGTGAGGGAGGGGAGAAAAAGAGGGAGCTCAGAATTCCATATTAGGAGAGAAGCTGGGGGCTCTCCTGCTGGTAGAGTGGGCTGGCTCCTTTTAGTCCCAAGAAAGCAGGGGTCTGCAGATCCCTCCTCCAGGTCCCAGCCCCACCCTCCGCCCTCCTAGCACTACTCCCTCCCAGGGGGATTTTCCAACTTAGGAAACTGGGCTGCCTTTGGCTCACAGGGACCTGGGAGGGGTACAACGTGGGGGACGTTTAAGGCCCTCTCCCAGCCACAGCACTCCCCAGCTCCTCCCACCTCCCACCTGCCTTCCTCTCACTGTGTCCAGGCCAAGTAGGAAAGGGCAGTTTCTGAGTGTTCTCCAGCAGCTGGTATGAACTGGTATGATGTGCCTAAGCTTCCCCTCTGGAGAGTCCAGGCCCCAACTCTCCCTCCATGCCCAGGCTACTACTGCACAGGAGGGGCTCATTCTCCAGAAGGAAAAGGAGAATGCAGAAGGTATGCAACCAGACAGGACCTGGGGCACACAGGCAGGAGTCCTGGAGAGAAATGGGCCCCAGACCTGCAGACGAAAGACAACTGTTGAGTGAGTGAGTGAGTGAGTGAGTGAGTGAGTGTGTGTGTGTGTGTGTGTGTGTGTGTGTGTGGTGGGGTGGGGGTAAAATGCACCCTCTGAATCCTCCTCTTCCCCCGCTGCCATCCCTTTAAGTAGCTTGGGCAGAGGAGGGCCAGATGGGGGAGGATAAGGAAAAAACCTCTCTTCCATTCTTCTTTTCCCCTCCCCCAACTCCCTGACATTCCCCCCATCTCTTTGAAGGGGGGTGAGTTAAAAGCCCATTAATGTGCAGAGCCCCCCAACCCTTTTGAATCTCCTCACAGGATGTGAACGGGGTGGGATTTGGCCCAGTTGCCACGGCAACTGCGATGGGAGTTCCCAGACGCTAGGCAACCCTCCCATGACCCTCGCTGACCTGTCACCCCCGCAACCCATGGACAATGGGAGTGCGCGCTCCAGAGGCCCAGGACGCCTTTCAGGCGGCCTCAGCACCACCGCCAGCGGCTCTGCCTGCCCCCACCTCATCAGCTCGGCCCTCCTGGCCCCAACTTGGCCAGTGCACCCAGACCAGCCCCCAAGACCTCCCCTCCCAAAATCTGACACGTACTTCTCCTAGGCTCCATCACCCCTGTCAGAGAGTCCTAAGGGTATTTGTGGGGTCCCACTGGGAACATTTTCATACAAGTGAAATCAGATTAGGATAAAACACAGGGCAACTTTCAAATAAAAGAGCCATCCCATAGGGTAAAAATGCAGGGAGGGGCACTGTGGTAGAAGCATTTGCCTTGGTGAGGGAGGGGATGGATTGGCAGCGGGTGTGTCTACAGTCTAGTGTATTCTTTAACAGCAGCTGAGGATCGCCAGTGCCAGCTGGCCAGCACACTGCCCAGTGCAAAATAAGTCTGAAGGTGTTTGCAGATTGACTGACTGCTCCAGAGCCCACTGCACTTCCTGTACCTTCCCCTTAGGATAGACAGATTCCCCATGGGGGTAAGACTGCAGACTTGGTGAAGCCCCAAGGACAGCGTGGAGGTGGCACGGCTCTGTCACTCACCAATGACCAGGCTGGGATGAGGGAGGGGGAAGCTGGGGCCTTGAGGGCTGAAATGGGGCAGCCAGCCAAGGACCCTCTCCCTCTAGTCAAACCTGGCCTGGAAGCCAAGCCAGGTCACCCCCAGCCTCTGTTTAAACAAGCTCCCAGCCTGCTGGTTGCATGGAAACAAGCGCCTGCTCTTGTTCCAAAGTGACGTGGCCACCCTCTTCAGCACTGTTTGTTTCAGCCTAAAGTCCTGTCACGGGCCTGACTTCTGACTCGACCTGTTTCTCTCTCTCCTCTCTGTCAACTCATTACTCCCAAAGGCCAGGATTGCATTTCCAGGGCTTGTTTACTGAGAGCAGGGGAACAAGGGCCGACAGACAGACGGACAAAGGCAGAGGGGCCTGGAGAGCCACGGAGGGTCCCTGGAGAATGGGACCAGTGCGACCCTCTCCCACCCCACTTCCTATCGAGTTTGCAGATGGCACTAGAGTGGCTATTTGGGGCCAGCAGGCAGCGCTGCTTTTACATCACAGAGCCCTTTCAGGTTGGAAATGAAATGCACTCATTTACTCATCAACAGACATTTCTTTAGCAACCACTATACTCGAGGCCTTGCTGCCTCCATTTCCCAGGGGGACTGCGTGAAGGAGAAGAAGCAAAGGGGCAGGTGTGCTGAGCCCTCAACTAGGAACTGGGAGACTGAGGTCTATGCAGCCTTTATTGTGCCATCTCGACAAGTCAGTGCCTACCTATGGCTGTCTCATCTGTGAAATGGGAATAATCATATCGACCTAACAGGGATGGTGAGCTGATTTGATGACAGCATACGCGAAGGCCCAAAGCACCAAACAGAAGAAAGGCATCTGTTTGTCCTCTAAGGACTTTGTGGTCAGGGTTGAGAAGGAGCAGGAACCCAAAGGGCCAGGCTCTCTTTCCTGTACTTGTTTAACCTACAAGTAGGAACTTTTATTGTTGGGGACCAGAAAATGTTACCCTTGAAGGTCCCCGAAAAGCTTCATTCGTACATTGAGGGTAGAGAATAGCCCATGGACTGTTTCATTTCAATTCAAACTCTTGTCATTTTAAGTTTGCAAGGTTCTTTTCAAAGTTTGGAGCCAAGAAAACCTTTTTTAAGTCTCAAATATGTTCCTTGGCCCTGGGCACTATGCCCATAGTGAGCCCAAATGGATAAAACAGCCCTCTGCCTGCCTCCAACTCCCCACCCCAGTTTATTTGTGAAACAGATATAGGATTTTCCAGGACTGTGGGATATTCCCCAAAACAAACAGCAATAACTGGAATGTGGAATATAGATGGGAAAACATGGCTCATGTGCGATGCAGAACCAAGAAACCTGATCAGTACAGACAGTTCTGTCTTTCCCCACCCCAAACATTTCCCCAGTTATCCAGAGATCTGTATTCATTCTTCACTTTCAGTAATTTTTTAAAAGAAACTTTCCAGTTTCAGTACTCCCGAACCTCCACCACATTCAAAATTTTTCATAACTCTGTTTCAGAGAGGGAAGAGCTGGCCATACAAAATGGGTGGCCTTCGGGATTCCTGGTGGGGCATGTTTTGCTATTATGTTGGTAAAGGGTAGGATTTTGCCCTTTAACCTTCTCTCCCCAGCAGACGGCACAGACTCTGTGGGTCTCTTCCCCAGACAACCTGCTTAGGAAGGCATGGGAGATGCCAGCAAACTCCTGAGGACTCTCTCCCTAGGGAAGGGCGTCAGGCTCTTCCCTGCTCCAGTCTCCACCACTGGCAAGAGAAAGTGATTTTTGAAGTCCTCCGTTCTGCTCACATCCACATCGACAAGTGAGCTGCACGTGTCGCACACCCAAATTGCATCTAATCCTAACAACTCTGCACTTGAGATGCCAAGGAGGCCAGGGCTCAGGAAGGCCTATGACTCTGTCAAGGTCATGCCGCTGGTTAAGGGGCTTGCTGGGACTTAAACCAGGTTTCTTCAATTCTTGCTTTACTGCTGGCTGACCAGCTCTGTGCAGGGGTGCCAAGCTGCTGATGGTGCTGCTTCCAGTCTGACTTCTGGCCCCAAGGAATACAGTGGGAAAGAGGCCCTTAGGGGTTATGAAGTTGGGTTGTAGGAGACGGAGGACACAGTCCTAGGGTGAACTTGAGAGAGACAGCAGGGCCACAGAGGGGCACATGAGGGCACGGTGGTACATACGCGTATGCACACATGAGGCAGGAGTGGGGTACTAAGCAGGGAGGTACACACAGGCCCCTGCTTCTCCATGTTCCTAGCAGACCCCCAAGGGCCAGCACCACTGGCAGTGATTCCAGGAGCAGAGTCAAATTAGAGAAAGACAATCCCAATGCCAGGGCTGTCTGGGCAGGTTCTCCTCAATTTGTCGAGTGTGATTCTCCCTTTTTCCCTGGGTGGGACCAGGACATGAACCCCTGCTCTGTTATCACTCAACCAAATCTAGGCCCATCCTAAGTGCCTCTAGGTCCTCAGAGAGGCTGGTCTTAAAACTCCTGAACTCTGTACTTTAGGGTGGAAAAGGAAATAGAAGACACAGACAGGGGTTCCCAGTTTGAGTCCTAAAAATGGAGGCCTGCCTTTGCCTAACTCTCTTGGCCTTTACTCAGCTGCCTAGGCCTCTCTTCACAGCTTGGAAGCTTGGATTGGAGGCCCAGGCTGACTCGGATGTGGAGAATGTTTTGCAACAGAAATAATGTGAAGATCCCTGTGTGCACAGCATTCTCTTAACCCTGTTCAATTAGCCAGTTTCCTAGCCAGTATGTAGGTGAAGAGTGGAGTGCCCAACAACCCAACATGCCAATCTCATGCCTGCTGCCCAGGTGTATGTCTGTCTCTTCTTATTGGCACTTCTGGGACAGTTTCAAGCTTCATGATCTCAGACCTCCGAGTCCCACTTCTCTCTCTTGAAAATGCTGTGGTAGCCCAGGCTCAAGGTGGCCACCAGAATGGGAGGGTGCACAGGGAATCCTCAGAGGCTGACCTGTCTTAAGAATGGTAGTGATGCTAGCTGGCAGGGAGTGCTGCTCCAGCAGCCAGAATGAAGTGGCATGAGGCCTAGTGACCCCTCTCCCCCTCCCTGATACCCCAAGGCGCGCCAGCTCCTACCTGTTGCTGCTGGAAGTGTAGTAGCTCCGCAGGGCTCATCTCACCATTGCTGTCTGTGCCCGTGGTCACGTCCCTGCCCGTGCCACTTGCGGTTGTCCCTGTGGCCCCGCCGCCGCCGCTGCCATCAGCTTGCCCAGAGAGGCTGCCCACGCCATTCTGACTGGATGGAGCTGACCTGATTGTCTCCGAGGCAGATTCCACCATCATGTCGCTCTAGCGGGAACTGGAGGAGGAAGACAGACATGGTGGGAGAGGCTGAGGCTCAAGGCTGAAAGTGCAGTGACTGCTGATCCCCAAAAACACAACCATAACCACAGGAGGAGCTGGGCATCCACTCCTCCTCAACTTCCCAGAGGCTGCTCCTCGGACACCTGATGGAGTGTGGCCCCTCTTGATGTCCCTGGAGGTAAGGAGTAACACCACATTCCTCAATGTTTTTTTGACTTCTAGGAGACCTCGTGCTGGGTGGGGAAGGGAGGAGACAAAGCCCTTGCACTGCCCCTCTCGGTGGGTTTTTTTGTCCCAGTTGAGATTTTGCACTGTTTATAATAATGACATGAAGCAGGGCTTTTTTAGTTTAAGACAAAGTATCACTCTGTCACCCAGGCTGGAGTGCAGTGGCTCTATCTTGGCTCACTGCAGTCTCCACCTCCCAAGTTCAAGTGATTCTTCTACCTCAGCCTCCTGAGTAGCTGGGACTACAAGCAACCACCACCCCGCCCGGCAAATTTCTTTTTAGACGGAGTTTTGCTCTTGTCACCTAGACTGGAGTGCAGTGGCTCGATCTCGGCTTACTGCAACCTCTACCTCCTGGGTTTAAACAATTCTCCTACTTCAGCCTCCTGAGAAGCTGGGACTATAGGTGTGTGCCACTATGCCCGGATAATTTTTTTGTATTTTTAGTAGAGACAGGGTTTCACCATTTTGGGGAGTCTGGGCTCGAATTCCTGTCCTCAGGTGATCCGCCTGCCTCAGCCTCCCAAACTGTTAGGATTACAGGTGTGAGCGACCGAGCCCAACCTTCTGTTTGCATTTTTAGTATAGACGGGGTTTCACCATGTTGACCAGGCTGGTCCCAAACTCCTAACCACCTGCCTCAGCCTCCCAAAGTGCTGGGATTATAGGCATGAGCCACAGCGCCCAGCCCCCCTATGGGTCTTAAACCTACACCAACAAAGCAAAGACAAAAGTTATTCACTAGGGACCCACCATATTACTGCCTTCCCATCCGCACCTGAAATGGGCTTTGCGTTTGTTCCCATCCCAGGACAGACCACCTTTTCCAGGCCACAGAAGGTCCAAAGCAATAATTATTCTACAATAAAAAAGGCCACCACTTGCCCAGCACCTACTGGGAGACACACACTAGGCTTGGGCATGGAGGTGTGCAATGAAGGAACGCCTGGTTCCATTTTCCATCTTCCATTTTAAAGCCCTCAGCCCAGCGCCTGGTCAAAAGTACAGAGTAGCTGGGACTACAGGCATGCACCACCAAGCCTGGCTAATTTTAGTAGAGATGTTGGCCAGGCTGGTCTCCAACTCCAGGCCTCAAGTGATCCACCCGCCTTGGCTTCCCAAAGTGCTGGGATTAAGGGATTATAGGCATGAACCACTGCACCTGGCAAGGTTTCACTATCTTTAGTATGAAAAGCTGTTCTGAAATTCTGGGGGTTCCCCAACTACCCACCGGAGTCACAGTACCTTGATAGGAACATGGATTCAGTCAAACAGGTCAGATCATGCTTGGTATCCACTACTGATATTTGACACATTTTAAACTCCCTAACTCTCAGTTTCCTTGTCTGTAGTAGGACAATGTTTCTCGGCACCTACGGGGGATTGGTTCCAGGACCCCTGTGGATACCATAATCTCCAGATGCGCAAGCCTCCCAGTTTGTCCTGCGGGACCTGTGGATACAAAAGTTGGCCCTCCCTATCTGTGGGTCCTGCATGCTGAAAATACTGTACAGTATTTTCCATCTGTGGTAGACTGAATCCACGGATATGGAACCCGTGGATTAAAAGGGCCAAGTATATTTCATCCCAGCCTCTGAGTCTTTGGAGGAACAAACAAAACAAGCATGTACATGGCACCTGACAGAGCAGGCCCCAGTATTGATCAGTGCCTTCTCCACCCACCCTAATTGTAAGGGTGGGGACACTGAGACCCAAACAGGTCAAGGACTTGGCCCAGATCACACAGAGATCATCAAGGGATAGAAGCCACATGAGCATTTAGTAAGGTCCGTGGAAGCCAGCCAGTTTCTTTCCCCCCATTTGGTCTCCTTTGGCCTAGGCAGAGCCTATATCCACATGGTCTCCTTGACCCAAGTGACAGATGAGGCCCTTGTAGGTAACCAATGAGAAACTGCAGAAAGAGACTGGACTGTGATTTCTCTAGTTCCTTCCCCAAAGCATCTCCTTCCAACTCCCAAATTCTCTCCTTTCACTCCAGTACCTGGCCATTTGTTCAGCTTTCATCCTGGCTGGAAGCAGAGTAGGGAGGAGACAGAGAACTACAAGGGGTCCACAGAAGCCACATCACTGTTCCTGTGGCCCCTCTTTGTCTGTGATTCTGGGTGTCACTGTCCCAGTGAATCTGAGTGGCCTCCCAAGCGCCCTGTATTTGTGAATTTCTCTATATGTTCCCAAGGGCTTGCTCTTCCCCCAATCCAGCTGCTGCTCCACTTCTAACTTCTGAGAGAAGCTGGGCTAAGGTAAGGGCAGGATGGTATTACTTGAGTGTTGGAAGAGGGGCACCTCTTCCAAGAGATGGCTCTGAAGAGATTGAGCACTCCGGCTCAGGCCTTAATGGTCGTGTCAGCCTGAGGGCTAGTGGCAGTGAAATGATAGATGGGGTGGGCACCATTCTCCACTAGCCACAGCACAGGGCTCCATCCCCCTCCCCTGAAACCACCCAGCCAGCAGCACCTTCCCCACAAGCTGAGGCCTGGGCCTCAGCTACATGAGGGGGATGGGAAGACAGGAGGGAGGGGGGCCTCTCCCCCAACCCTGGCTTTGCTGGTGGTGGAGAGCAGCTGCCCGCTCTGATTCCAAGTCTAGCTTCTCTGAGATCTGAGAAATCCTGGGCCCCAGGGGACAAAGACCAGAGCCTCAGGGGTGAATGCATGCAAAGGAGAAAGGAAAGAGAATCTGGCAGTTACTTCCCTGGGGTTAGGGAGAGTGCCCATCTTCCAACACTCAAGTAATACCATAAAGTTGCAGATCAGACGGTTAAGTTTGGAAAAAGAGAAAAAAGGAAGAAGGAGGATGCAGACAGAGGTGCTCCTTTCTTTTCTGTCTTCTTATTGGGGGGATACAGAGCGACACCCAGTGAACAACATAATTGCTGCAATGTGGTATATAATAATAGCTATTCAGGGGCCGATCATTCATATTAAACAGGGTGAAGCAAGCCTCTCATTTGCATGCTTGAGATTATATGCATTTGAAAAGTCATTTCCGCAGGGTGTATGAATGGCATTAATTCCCGTGTGGCACGCTCTGCCCCCCTCCAGGGCCTTCACCCCACTGACACACACCCATACACCTCCTTCAATGCTCCTGCCCACCTACCAACATAACCCCCAAGCCTGCATGACAGGTACTCCCAAGAGCTTTCCAAATTCTCACCTCTGCCCTGGGACACCTGCCGTCCAAGGACGAGCACACCAGCAGCCTCATGTCTCCTGCTCACCTCTTCACAGGGTGTCGAGACTCACTGTGGTGAGCAGGATCTGGGTGCCTGGGACACTCAGCCAGCTAGAGACAGGATGGGGTGGGGTGCTGCCAGGAGGCCTTGATTATCAGTGCCCTGTAACTGCAAGGGTGTGGGGCATGGAGAAGGAAGTCAGTGTCCACAGGAGCCTGAGCCCTGGCTAGGGGAGCAGGTAGGGGCCTGGGCTCAGTCACACATCATTGTGAATGCCCTGTCTTCTCTCTTCTCTGAGTCTCTATTTCCCCATCTCTATATGGATAGGCGGTCTTGCAGGTCTCTTTTCACTCTCAGTCTGGCATGTGGACATGAAGCCACAGTATTTCAGTGAATACTGGGAAGCACTGATGGTCCACTGGAGTCACAGCAGGGTCCCTTTCCCAGTGGACTCCACCCGGTGTAGACCCGAGCTGCTTCCTCTGGTACTGAGGGGCAAGCTCCAAGAGGCCTTCCTTCCTTCTCCACACACCCCTAGCCTCCCCATCCATGCTCCTCCCCCAGCCACCAAAGTCTTCAGCAAGGAGCAGCTGAACACCCGCAGAACAGAAAGGCAGAGGCTCTGAGAATTAGACCATCTGCTTTCTAGGCTCAGCTGTGTGACCTTGGGCGAGTCACCGGGCTGCTCTTTCTGCCTCCATACAATGACGTGGGGGTTGGTCAGGAGTCTTTCTAAGGTTCACCAATACTAGGTTCTTATCTCCCACCCCAGACTTCCCATACCCCTCTCCTACCACATGTTGGGGGCAAATGGAGACAGCACTGGAGGCCGAGTTATTCTGGCAGATCCAGGACTTGTCTGAGGCTCAGGTCTTGTACTTGGGCAGGACCTAGTCCGCCATCCCTCAGCGTTCCCCGTGGGGGAGTCAGCGCACCTGGGAGCCTAAGTCGGGCCCGGAGGCTCCTGCAGATGCCGTCGGAAGGAAGCTGGGTCAAACCCGCGGCCGCCTCTTCCGCTTTGGGGGAGTCTGCGGGCCGCTGGGGGCTCCCACTTCCCCTGAGGCTCCTGGCTCTTCAAAGAACCTGTGCCGGGGAGGTGCGCAACTAGGGACGCCCTCGGAACTTGCCGGAGTCCGCCCGGTCCCCTCCCTGGCCGGAAGTGACGAGTGCCACCTACCCTGGGGCTAAAGGGGGGACCCACGGGCTGGGGTGCTTTTGGGGAAGGAGAAAAGAGAAGGGGAGCCCCACACGCGGAGAAACCTTTTGTGCCTTTTCGCGGGCCCATATGGCGTAGCAAGTATTAATTACCGTCGCTTTTTAATTAACAATCGCTTAATCTGAGCCGTAACATTTGCCATGACACCCTGCGCCTCGCCGCGAACCCGCGCCGCCCGCCCTGCCAACTCATCAATTAATTTTTATTGACGTTTTCTTCCCCAAACAGGCACAATACCAGGGTTTTCCAATTAACACCTCCGCGATCTCTAATTAGTGCAATTAACAGACTGATGGATGCCTGGAGTTTACCCGCGGGGGAGGGGGGGCGGGGCAGCCCCCAGCGCGCTCCCGGGCGTACACATGCACGCGCAGCTGGAGTGGGGATGCGGCCCCAGCTCTTAAGGGACACACGGGTGGGCATGACGACAGGTAGCCCATACCCAGAGCAAGCGTGGTGGTTGGAATTTAAGTAAGAAGATATCCTTTCCAGTTATCTGGAAACCTATAATCTAGTCTGGGAGATAGCAGGAGGTGGCCCTGCTGAGAGCCTGACCCTGGAAGTTGGAGTCTAGCCCCGGCTCTAACACCAATTTACTACTGAGTGACTTGCTTTTTTTAAGAGTGGTGGTGGTGTGGGGGAGTCTCACTTTGTTGCCCAGGCTGGTCTCCAACTCCGGGGCTCAAGTGATCCTCCCTCCTCAGTCACCCTAAGTGCTGGGAGGACAGGCCTGAGCCACCCACCGTACCTGGCCTACTGAGTGACTTGGAGCAAGTTAATTCTCTCTTCTCCTCTGAATAATGGGGAGAACTGGACTAGACGTAGTCAACTATTTTATTATTTATAATTCCAACATAGATTAGGAAGCAGATTGCAGTAAGAGGTAAGATTTCTTAAAATACAATAGCATGGAGTAGAAAGCGAGAATCATGGACCACAACGTTAAATCAGGGGGTTGCAGACTTGAGTGCATCAGAATCACCTTGGAGAACTTGTTAAAACACAGATTACTGGGCCCCAACAGAAGTTTCTAACTCAGTAAGTCTAGTGTGGGTCTGGGAATCTGCATTTATAAGAAGTTCCCAGGTGATGCTGACGGTGGTTGTCCCAGGCAATGGGGCTCCAATTGACTTTAGTTATAAGCTTCCTGGTGGTCAAAACTAGACGATATATCTCCAAAACCCATTCAATCATTCAACATGTATTTAGGGGCCCATTAAGCTAAGCACTGGGGATCTACCTGAAGGAAACTGAAATGTGGGTCCTACTGAACAAGGAAGTACAGCAGTGCCCTTAGATGCACTGAGAACTGCAGGTGAAAGACTCAGCAAGGGCAACTGGTAATAACCAAGGTCCTAGCCCCTTCTTGTTTGTTCTAGATAAACCTGGCTCTTGTTCTTTTCCTAAAAACAAGTTTCCTAAAAACCAGTCGGGTTTTAGCCATGAACAAAGTCATGCTTCTCTCTCCTCTAATGGTTGTCCAGGAGCATGTTTCACCAGCAACGACCCTTCATCCATTCATTGGTGCGACCAATGCTTAAGTACCTACAGTGTGCCAGGCTCTGTGTATGCAGACTCCAGCAGAACAGGACACAGGCCTTGCTCTTATGGAGTTTATGTTCCCATGAAGGGGGTGCAAATGATGACTAAAGACACAAGTAAATGGAGAAGCCCAAGTCATATACATTCTATCGAGTGTGAGTACAGGACAGGGAATAAATGGGGATCTAACATGTCCCCATTTGTGGAGAGAGGCAGGGAAAGCCTCCTTTTTCAAGGAAAGGGCATTTATGCTTAGATATGAAGGCTGAGTAGGTATTGGCTGGGCAAAGTATACAATGAATGCAGGGCAAACAACACATACAAAGGCCTTCATTTTACAAAGGAAAGGTCACCAGTTTCAGACTTTCCCAGAACTAAAAATCTTTGAAATACATGTATTTCTAGATATATAAAAAGACACACATGTGGATACCAGAGCACAAGGATGCCTTCTAGTTCCTTCTTTCTCCGTTTCTTTCTAGCTATCCTGCTATCAGATCTTACTTGTGTCAAGAGATATAAAACAGAGGACTTTCCAGAGCAATGAGCACTGGTCCTACAAGTAACTGCAGGATGCTTCCCAATCCAAAGTCCCAGGGGCCAGCCTCCCCTATTCAGCCCTGGCCCCAGAGGTCCAATCGCTTCTGGCTTTAGGCTCCAGGGAAGGGGAGGGCTCCAAGGCAGTGGCCACTTTGGGCCTCTGGATTACTTAGCCAGCCACTCATTTGCCAGATGACCTGCTAACCCTTCCTGGCCTCTTACTACCTTTGTGATGTTGAGGGATGAGGTCACCAGTCTGAGCCTTGGTTTCCTTATCTGTAACATGGGGCTAATGCCAATACACCTTCTTCCAGGGTTGCTGTGGTATCAGATCACACTGCATGAGGAAGACATTTGGAGCAGGGTAGCTACTGTAGTTATGGGAGTCCAGAAAGTCCTGCTACAGCCCACCTCTGAGTGGGCTATGGTTTAAAAATTGATTCCAACCCCTCCCCCTGCCCTTGGTTCAGCATTGAAGAAAGTGAGGCAAGACCCTACAGTGTGGGTTAGAATGTGGCTATAGCTCATTCTATAGCCAGAGCTGGGTGATGTGAGTCACGTACTGCTTGGCTCCCCTGATCATCCCAGCAGCTTCTCTCCCCAAGCACATGGGGTTCTGTGGGTTCCAGAGTAGATTTAATCCCTCTCCAAGACCCTGCCCTCCTTTAGCATTCCCCGTTGTGTGGGTCAGAGGGTGGCACCCTGGACTTCACTCTGTACCCCCACCTCTGCCTGAGTTCCTGGCCTGGGAGTCTCCCTAAATGACTGTGACATCCTAGAAGCTACCTACCCCAAACTCTAAGGACCATTCCAGGCCTTTTAGCACAACCCTTTGGCGCTCAGAGCAGCTCAGTGCAAGGGGCAGGGCAAAGACATTCCCGTGTGAAAGGCTGCAGCAAAGCCTTTGATTTGGAAGGTGAGCCGCCATCCTGTGCCATCTGTTCCAGGTCCTCTCCCAAGTTCCAAAGAGCTCTATTCCTGAACCCTAAAAGTAAGAGACATCCTGGTAGAAAATTTTGAAACAAACAAACAAAAGGATAAGAAAAAATGGAGTACTCATAATCCTACCACCCAGAGATCTAGCCCTTTGGGATATACAGCCTTTCCAGTCAAGCCACTCTCTCTCTCTTCTGGCATATAAACATTTAAAAAGTGAAATTGGGGTCATAATCTGTACATGGTTTGAATTTTCCTCTTTTTCCACTCACCGCTTACTATCATAAGCATTTCCACATGCCATCAAATATTTTAGGCAACAGTTTTTAATGGTCACACAATTGCCTGAATGGGCGGCATGTTCCAGAATGTATTGAGCCAATCCCCTAGAGTTAGACATCTAGGCTGTTAGCTATGTTTTACTATGACTCTGCAGTAAACGCCTTTATGGGAACAGGATACTCTACATTTTTGACTATTTGCCTTGAATCCATGTTTAGAAGGTGGAACTGTGTATTTTTAAGGCTCTTGATAGGTTTATTCCCTAATTGATGCCCATAAAATTTATACCAATTTTGTCCAATTCTCCCTTCACAAGGCAGCCACATCTCGTAAGACCCTCAGGCCCTTACCTTTTTAGCCATTTCCCTCAATTCTCCGCAGCCCCTTCTCCAGGAGATTCTCAGAGCCTGAATAAGGCATTCACCACTCAACACTACAGGCCCTGCCAAGTCTGGGTGAGCTCCTTAAGCTCAGAGTGGGGCAGGGAGCTTTCAGCTGCAGCTGATACTGAGCACAGTGGGCACTGGGGTTGGAGCAAACGGAGGTGATTAAAACGCAGACCTTGCTTTTGAGGGACTTGAAATGGAGAGAGACTAACGGGCAGGTAAGCTTTCCTTCTAAACATCGGAATCACCTGGGGAGCTTCAAACAAACAAACCCATACCTATGGCCCACCCTAGGTCAATTAAATCAGACTCTTCAGGGAACGGGACCCAGGGGTGGATATTTTAAAAAGCTTTCCAACCATTCTAAATTCCCAGTGGCGCCAGGATTGAGAACTTCTGCCTTACACAGCACACACAGCTTTACAAAGGTTATGTTAGACACTGGGGACGGACCATGGAGTCTGGAAAGAGTAAGGGGTGCTCCGGAAAGGCTTTCTGTAGGAGGTGGCTTCTGAGCTGAGCCATGAGGCAGCGAGACCTCGGCACACAATTTGTGAATACATTTTATTGTTAAAAACCATCCGATTCAGAGTCCCTGAGAGTGCTTTCCTACAGCCTCTCCCTCCCCCCATGCAATTTTGTGCTCATTTTGACAGAGGAAGGAACCACACTTCAAAGATGCCAAAGACTTGACAAGGTCACCTGACTGCTAAGTGGCTGAGCCAAACTGAAACCAGGTGGCTCTCCTAACTCTTAAACCAGTGCTCTTCCCCGCATCCAAACTTCCAGAGTCACTCTGGAATCCCTCACCACCACCACCCTCCTCCACCTTACCTTTTACTGGCTCCAGCCCTGAAACGCTCCCACAGGCCCTGGCACGGTGGCCTCCCTCAATACCCCTTCCTACTACATAGACCAAAAGGAAGAATTAACAATGAAGGGGGGAAAAAAGAAAGAGAACCAAAGATCCCACTCCATCTCATTAAGAAAGTAAACATAAGAGCCATCTAAGTGTCTAATTAAGCTTCTAATTAGTCCCTGCTTGTTACTAATGCAAATTAGATTACTCCGCTTAACTACAGCATGTCCACAACACCCTTGTTAATTGCGGCCTTTTGAAATTAAATTACTCCCTAATTAGCATATCAAAGCCATTGATTCGGAGCTGGGAAAGATGAGGGCAAGAGGAGCCGAATGCCAAGTTTGGTTAATCAGAGACGGCTAATTAAATAGTGACGTCTTACGTGGGGGGCCTGCTGGTTAAGGGGTAGGGGCAACTAGCCCAGGGCCTGAATGGCCATCTGGAACCTGGTTCTGGTACTGCCTTTGGCATCAGGGTTTCCTGTGGGCACAGGCGGGGCTCTAGCGGGCCTAGGACAAACCACTGAGTATGGCCGCGTCTGGGCCCCTGGCTGTTCTGCCCAGCCTGCCCCTGACATGCCTTGGCCCCTCCCTTCATTTCCCCAGATGATTTCCAAGTGTGGCATTCACAGGGATCTTGGGCACCAATTCAGGGGCATCCAAAACACAGTCACATTTGAATATGCAAAGATTCAGCATCCTTCCACGTCTTTCTCCCTGTTCTAAGGTGAGTTCCAGAAGGGTAACTTCTGCGTGTGGTTTCATTCTTGGAAGAAAGCCCCTCCTCCCCAACAAAAGTACACAAAGGGAGTAAGTGTTGGGGGCAGGGGATGACTTTATCGTAGAGGATCTCACCCTGGCAGGGATGGGCCGGTTTCATCTTGAAACAGGGCCCCGGGAGACACAAGGCCTTATGGTAAAAAGGCCTACCCTCAGTGGTAGAAAGAAGGGAAAAACAATCACTCACCACCATTAGTTCTTTTTTTTTTTTTTTGAGACAGGGTCTCACTCTGTGTCGCTCAGACTAGAGTGCAGTGGCATGATCTCAGTTCACTCATTGAAACCTCTGCCTCCTTGACTTAAG